AAAGTAGGACTGGATGGTACCTCGAGGGCATCTAGTCCATACCCCTGCCTAAGGCAACAGTGATCTGTGTTTTGATTCCCTTCCCCTGACTGATTTGCTGCTCTGCTTTTTGCCTCTAGCCCTGTGTTCCCTGCCTAATCTGCTACTTGACTTTCTTCTCCCTGCTCTGTCTGCCCCTGTACTTCTTTCTCCTTCCCCAGTCTACTTTGTGGCATGCAGAGGCTGCCTGTGCCACTTGTGGCACCCATGCTGCAGGTTGGGTACCCCTGCTTTAAAGGATGCTACTTATCTACTCCTTTGGAGTTCTCCAGCACACTATGGATTGCAAACACTCTTCTTTACAGGGGCAGGACGAGGAGAGTGGTAAGGAATCTACTTCTGCAAAGTACCTGGGTTTTATTTAATAAAATACAAATGTCTTATAATTACAATGGAAAATACCTTTTGTGGAATTTATTGCAATGAGTTGGCTGATGATTTAGTAAGTGTGAATAAGGGAAAAGCTTTCTTTCATTTATAAATATAATATAGCTTATCTGCTCAGCTCTTCTTCTGGGAGTACAGGAAGGCAGTGATTTTTTTTTCTTCCAACTTGTGTCTCTATCAGAGAGAGAGAATTAACTCTTGCTGACTAATTTTCGTGTGTGCACATGTTTACGGGTAACATTTTAAGCTAGTAAAATTCTCTAGAAGTATAGGCTCTGTCCTTGAAATACTTCACCTGTAGAAAGGGAGTGCCTGGAATAAATATGCTTGAATAGTAGGATGGAAGGTATAGTCCTTAGTCTTTCTCTCCACCTTGTTCTAGACGAAACAGAGTCAAGGTCACATGGAGAGGAGGAAGGGGCGAGATAAATATTTAGGGCCCTTTCCCGTTCTTACCAAGGGCTTTATTTCAGATGTTGTGGCTGTGACTAGAATTCTGAAGGGGAGCAAGGAAAAAGAGCTGCTGTTCATGAGTGACACTTTTTTAGAAACTATGGGAAAGGGGGAGAAGTATTAGAACAGGGGCAGGCAGTTATTTCAGGCAGAGGGCCGCTTACTGAGTTTTAGCAAGCCATCGAGGACCGCATGACAGGCAGCCAGGGGCAGATAAATTATTAATTTTCTAAAGTTTTTAGGGACCCCGCGGGCGGGATAGAATGTCCTGGCAGGTTACATCTGGCCCGCTCGCCGTATTTTGCCCGTCCCTGTATTACAACTTTGTACTTCCAGCTCCTAGGCAAAATAGGAAGAATCAGACCCCTCCAAAGGACTGTATGAAAAGACGGTAGAAAAGAATGGTTTCAGCAGTACCCTAAGCATAGAGTGGTATACTTAACCAGCTTTAATGGGCAGGGGGAGCACCTACTTGGGAGCATGCCACAGCTGTTATAATCTGTTAGGTCTCAATAGCCCTGTAGCAATACGAGTTACCTAAATCACCTTAACATAGATGCTGGATGAAGCATGGTTAAGTAGGAGCAGTTTACCACATGGATAACCCAATAGAATTATGCAGACGTGACACTTGCGCTGTAGCAGTTTGTATCCATATCCTTTTGATAGTGATACAGTCCTGCCGTCTGCTTATGCCCCTAAGTAAAAACCATGAAAATTTTTTCCTTATTCTAACAGGTTAAATCAGGGTTGTCAAATGTATGGCCTGTGGGCTGGATGGAGCAATACAGTTCAGGAGGTAGGGCTGCAGAATTCAGGGCTCATGGGCGTGATGTTTACAGCTGTTGGAAAAAGAGGAGCAAGAAGGAGCTATGTAGATACTTGCCCTGCTGCCTCTGGACCCAAGCCCTTTTGCTACATCCAGACCTCCTCCCCTCCTTTGGCTCCACAGATCAGGTCTGGGGCCCAGGGTGAATTTGATGTTCATTGTTTAGATAAGTAACCACACCTTTCAATTCTGAATTCATCTAAGTTGGGTAAAAACTAGTGCTACATCTAGATAGCAGAAAATCTCTCCCTGCACTTCAGCAGTTCTAATCTAGACAGTTTCTAAAGACTGACTAGAAATATGACTTTTAAACTGATACTTGCGTCCTAAGTGTATGAACATTCTTAAATTCAATTCAAACCTCACTTCTCATTTTAGCTTAATAATGATACCTTTGCTTGCTTGTTTGTTTATTTTTTAAAGGAAGTAGATTTTAGGACTTGGTATAGCAGTCATTAATTGGGGAATATTGCAGTGCAGACTCTCATTAGTTAGGTTAATTTAACCTTGTAGAATTCTGACAGCTGAAGTTTAATTTAACTTGACTGTATTTCTCATTAGCACTCTTTATCCCTTTATCTGCTGATAATGGGTATTCACGTGTTCTTAGTTTTAAAAGCAATTGAGACCTGGAAAGTCACAGTGAATACTTGCTGGGATCCAGATCTAATAACAGCAGCTTATTCTGTTGTATTATTTTCAACTGAGGTAAAAAAACCAAACTCTCTTGGATAGCTACCTAACAGGATGAATACAAGCATAAGAAGTTAATCAAGCAAGCTATTTATTGCCATTTTTGGTTTGGGTGAAAAGTGTGGTCACAAGGATGTGTAAAATAGCCTTGATATGCAGGTGTTTAATACACCTGTTGAGTGGATTGCAGAGAGTATGTGCCCTTCTCTTCCTCCCCCATCTCTCCTTCCCCAAAAAAGAGTGCATGCCAAGATATCCGTTATTAGATAAGGTTATGCCCTTCAGGGTTTTAGTCCTGTTGTAAGTGGGCATTATGAGCTGCTAATTATTGTTGCTGAAGTCAGTAGTTCAGAATAAGGATCTAAAAATCTGTTGTAGGTGAAAAAGTAAGAATGAATATACGTTCTACCCACTGTACTTACCCCAAGTTTGGTATTATTCAGTAACCGGACCCATTTGTAAACTGTCACACAATTCAGTCAAATGTTGCTTCTTTAGCAATGCCAGTATATAGGGCCACCAAAGTAAATAGAGGGATTTTAATAAAGGTCACAAGTTATATCTTTTGAATTAATTAGGGCAGTGGGGTCCAACCTTTTTGGCAAGCATGCCATAAATTAGTCCTGCGCCCTCCTTGAGTGCTGCTCCAATTCCTTTCCTATGACCACTCTACTTTTCTGCTTCCTGCCCTGCCAGTGTGCTGTTTCTCAACCTCCCTCTTCTGTTGTCCCACACCAGAAGCTGCCTGTGGTACGTTGGCCAGCCCTGCTATTAGACACTGTTTAATAAAACCACTTTCCATATTTTGACTTTAAATTTGCCTACACAAGACAAATATAGGCAGAAAACAAGAAATTTCCTCTTGTAGATGTTTCTTTCAGTATGTTTAATATGGTGAAAGCTTTGAGTTAGGGGGGTAAAGGTAATGTAGGCCTTTTCTTGTTACCAGCTCAGCTTGCCAAGTCTTTCTCTCTCTACTTGTGACCTTGTTTTCTTCCAACTTCACTGGTCCTTCAGTTCTGATGTGGATCTGGATTCTTTCCCTTTTTGCATATCTTGTTCTTAATGAAACTTATTTTACTTAATTGTTACAACAGAAGGCTGCCTGGATCAAGGGCACATGGTAGATACTGTGCAGAGATTGAGTCCCTGCCTCTTGTTGCTTACGATCTGAGGACAAAGTATTCGGACTTTGGAGAACAAATATTAGACTCCTAAATAAATAACCTGATTTTTTTTCAAAGATTCCTAAGCTGGCTATAGGAAGTGAACTGCTAAATAAGGTGTTAACTTTTCACCCATCCCCTCCTGGGTAACATGTATCTGCTTAATACAGGGAGTGACAAGAATCTGGCAGAAAATCCTTTGTAAGTTAATCCTTTGTATGCTGTTGTCTTGAGATTTGTACTTGGAGTCATCCTGTGATTGAGCTTGTTTCTGCTGATCTTACTGTGGGGTAGCCATCCTCTTAAGTTAAAGTTATATGTGATTTGTCCCTACAGACTGCCAGACTTTTTGTTTTCTTTGAATACCCTTTATTTTCTGGGTATTCTTGGCTTTTATAGTATGAATGATATATAAAAGGCAGTAATTCCTTTGTTAATCACTGTCTCTTGTATCCATCTCAGAAAATAATGGAAGGGTCAACAGCTCAGCCAAGTGAAGTTTGAGGCATTTTAAGATGAAGTCTCACAGGCTGCTACAAAAGGACAATTATCCTGCCCCACAAGTCCTCTGGCTGGCATCAGCCTCCCTGCTTACGTGGAGCAGACAGATTGGGCCAAGGCTAGCCTGCCTAGGTTGTGAGGGGGGATTTGCAGGGGGAAGTGCAAAGCATCCTGAGATTCTGGGGAACTGAGTTAACTTGAATCTGGAGGGGATCTGGGACAGAAGTTCAATAAAGCAGTTTAACCTAAATCAGTTAAATATGACACTGCATTGACCCAGGTTTATCTCAAACTGGTTTCAGCCATTTTGAAAGAGGTTTATATGCACTGAACTATGGTTGCGTTACAGATGTGTGCCAGTTTCCGATTACTTATACCAGTTTGTGTGATTACTGTCCCTTGCCATTGTATCTATCAGAACCCTTTTGAGGTAGTGTTTCTCACAAGGCTTCTTGCTGTGGTCGCTGGGGCTGCTGTCTACAGTGAGGCAGTTAATGTTGCCACCATGATTTAACCGTAGCCACCAGCTAAGTTGAGTTGAATTCTCTTTTCTGCACTACAGAAATAACTTGTTGACCTAAAGAATCTATTGCCTATAAGAAGTGTCTTCAAACTATATGTTGATAAAGAAAATCATGGACATGAATAGACACAGGTGATATATTGGGTATAATATATCAGCCCTTCCTTGTACAGGATTGATGGGCAAAATAGTTTATACACAAACACTTAAATGGAACCAATAGCAGAGATTCCAACTTAGAGCAGTGCTAAAATATTTCATTTTCAATTTTCATTTCAGTGTTTTTATTGGCTGTGTGAAAATAAAACCTCTTATACAAGCACTTCTGAGCTTCTGTACAGCTAAAGCTATTATCAAATGCTAATTGATATATTCAGTAACAGAATATCTGTCACTTTTGTCTTGACAGGTGTACCAAAGTCTAATCTCCTACACACAAGATCATTAAGGGGGCACAGAGACTGCTTTGAGAAATTCCACTTAATAGCAAACCAGGATTGCCCACGATCAAAACTTTCCAAAAGTACCTATGCAGAAGTAAAAAACATCTTGAGCAAAAAAATTAACCGGATTATACAGTATGCACAAAACAAGGATTTGGACTCTGATTCTGAAAGCTCAAAAACATCCCAGCACCAGCTTTTTAACTTCAGACATCAGACAGACAGAAAACTGCTCCCACAGTTTGATTCCCCAGTACCCAGGTACTCTGCAAAATGTATAGATGGAAATTCTGGGAGCATTTCAAACTGTTCACAAAGTATTTTTGAACCAAAAGAATCCACTGATTTCAGACTCGATATGTTGCAAAAAACTGGTGCTACGTTTCGCTGCAGTAGTGTTTTGTGGGCTAGTCACAACCAAGCACAGAAGACAGAAAATGCTGAAAGTGACTTGGATACCAGTGTTCAAAGAAGATGTCCCCATTATAGCAGGGAAGAACGTAAGTAGAGGGGAAATGAGCTAGTGCTGTTTAGCTTCTTGCTATGTTCTGCATAGTTTCTTCAGTCTCTTGACCAGTTAAGAGCTTGCCTGTTGCTAGTGGACATAAATCAGTGCATGGTAGGAAAAGATGATTATTGTGAAGCTAGAAAAACTAGTTTTCAGGAGACTATACTACCAAGTAAATCACTGTGGATTGTATATTCTTGCTTGTGAACCCAATTTAACCTACCACATGTCTTATACTGAAAGAGAGCTCTTGGCTGAAATTACTGGAAGTCCCATCAATACATCAGTCTGATATCAGATCAGCACCAATATACAGAAAATTGTCTATATCAGATATTGGCCTGATGGGGCCAGTAATTTGGCTGATAAACACCCATGCTGCGCACAGCCACAGAGTACTATGGAGCAGAGCCGGCAGAGTGGAAGCAGTGGTGGAGGGAGGGAGGGAAGGGGCATAGAGGGGCAGGTGCTGCTCAGCGGGGGTGGGGGCAGGGGGTGGTACAGGACAGAGGCACTGCTCATGGGGTGGGGGCAGCTCCTGCCACTGCTTGCAGGAGGGTGGGGGCGGGGAGGTCCGCCCCTGTATCTGCACGGGGTGGGCGACAGCTGCTGGGTGGAGCTAGAGATGGCGCTGTGCAGCTCTTCTTGCCAGGGGCTGGGCTCCAAGCGGGTTTCAGTGGTGCTGGGAGGAGGCTGCAACCCCTTTTCCCTTCAGTTGGGTGGAGGCAGGGCGTTTAGCTGCGGCTGCACCAGGTGGCAGTGTGGGTCTAGAAGTGGAGCTGCAGCAAAACCTGCGGTGGCTGCAGCCCCCTCCCAGTGCCACCAGAGTCTGCTCCGAGCTGAGCCCCTGGCGAGAACAGCCCCATGCAGCGCTGGCTCTGGCTCCACCCCACAGCTGCAGCCTGTCCTGCTTCACACAGATCTAGGGGCACATGCTCCCTGCCCCTGTCCTCCCAGGGGGCAAGCAGTGGCGGGAGCTGCCCCCACCCCAAGAGCTGTGGCTCTGTCCCGTGCCACCGCCTGCCCCCTCCCTCACCACAGGGGGCATTGATCTGCTCTGCTATGCCACTTCCCTCCCCCTTCCCCTTCTACCACTTTGGACTTACCACCTGATGGCAGTTGTATTTGATATCAGATCAATATTGGTTGATATGCCTCCTTAAATATTAGTTATCAGCCCGCAAAATCTCATCTGTGCACCCTTAGAAATTACCCTTTTAATGTTATTTGCCAGGGATGTGTAATCCTGCCAGTATAGTACTCCCAACAGCAACTTTATTGTCTCCTCCTAACATCCCTGAGATGCATTTTAGAAGCCAAACTATCTTTGGTTTAATGATTAGGGAGACTAGTGAACTTTGCAGGGAATCAAAATGTGAAAAGTAATAGTTGACTTTAAAGATGCCTAGAATGTGGAAAATAATGTTTAGAGTGTTTACTTGCCAGTAATACAGATTATGTTACAGCCTTATATGCTAACATAGCTCTCAGATGTTTTTACTCGTAGCATTTCTTGATGGGGAAGTAGGAAAAAATACACTAGTTTTCATTCCCGTAAGAATTTGTGCCCTTCTCCTATCCTGTATTAAGTTCTTGAAGGTTAAAACAATGCCAGTGGGATGCCTTTGTAAATAAAAGAAGTATATGTTGTAGATGTACAAATGAGCAGTGCAGCTGACAGACAAGTGATTGCTTCTGTGCTGCAATCTTTGCTAGAGGCAGTTTCTACTGTGTCCTGAGTCACAGAACTTAGAATTTGCATTCCCTTAATCACAGGTGATCTGTTTGATTGTGACTATTAAAGCAGAAAAAGCATGGCTTTAGGGGATGGAAAAAATAACACACAATGAGGTAATTAAAGGCTGTATATGCACACTTGCCCAGACAAGTGTCAGTTCAGATGCTGCTTTTGAAAGCTTCAAGTATGAGGAGAGACTGAGGGATCTAGATCTCTTCAGCCTTTGCAAAAGAAGGCTGAGAAGTGATCTTGTGGCTGCCTACAAATTCATCAGGGGAGGGCAGCAGGGAATAGGAGATGCTCTATTTACTAGGGCAACCCTGGAGTAACTAGGAACATTAGCCACAAATTGACAGAGAGCAGATTTAGGTTGGACGTCAGAAATAACTTCTTCACAGTTAGGGTTGCCAGAATCTGGAATGGGCTTCCAAGCGAGGTGGTGCTCTCCCCTACCCTAGGGGTCTTCAAGGGGAGACTGGGCAAGCACCTAGGTGGGGTCGTCTGACCCCAGCACTCTTTCCTGCCCAGGGCAGGGGGTCGGATTCAGTGACCTACCAAGGTCCCTTCTGACCCTAACATCTATGACTCTCTGAACTTTTAACACTGAGCACAGGGTTTTGTGTGAAATGGGTATGTAAATTAATGTAACAGTTACAGTTGAGTTAGAAGAGTGAATCTTCAGACATTGACAAATTACTGCTGAGTGGTATTGTTCTTGACTTACCTGAACAGCTGTATGTAGGGTGCAAATAAATAATTTTGAGGGACTGACAATCTGCTTACTAATGCTTACGTTTAATATTTGGCTTCTCTAGTAATAATAATGGGTTTTGTTGTTACAGTGAGTACGATGACTCTTGGAGAGTTAGAGCAACTAAATAAAAAGCTTCTCGAGCAAGTACAGGGTAAGAACTTTTAAATTTCCTTACGGTTGTGCAAAATAATATAATTTGAAAGAGAACTATGATGACTTACCAGGGTTTTAAATTTTGATCCAAAATCCACATGAACCTAAATACCAGAGCAAAGAAGTAAAAAATACTTAACTACACTTTGATATAATACATGCTGTTATTATGAAATTACTTCCGCTCTAGAAGAAATTCCTTTCATTTTCACTTATGTGTGTGTAAATTAGTTTAATTTCATATTTGAACTTTTCAAATCTATACAGTTTAGCTTGCTTAAGTGTAAGGTCTTCTAGGGTCCTTAGTTTTGGCATATGAATTTATGGGCTCTGCTGTTGAAACTTTAGACCTGCCCCTTTTTAAATATTTAGAGACTTTTTCAATTAACAATATGACTAGTTAGATTAACCTGCTAATCTTCTTACAGATGTTTTTGAGGAGCTGACACACCAAGTTCAAGAAAAGGATTCCTTAGCCTCCCAACTTAATGTCCGTCACATTGCTATAGAGCAGCTGCTTAAGAACTGTTCCAAATTGCCATGTCTACAAGTGGGACGAGCAGGAATGAAATCCAGTGCCCCCATATAAATGGAACAAGGCTTGAATCTATAGTATTTTCCTTAACGGCTTTATTCTCAATAGCTGAACACAGCCTAACAGCTTTTTTAGAAGCTTTTGAGGAAACTTTGCTTTTTTTTTCTTTGTCTTCAGAAACCAAGAGATATTGTATACTATAAATTTTGCTTGACAAAAAGCACGTTTTTTTGTTGTTGCGGCTTTTTTTGTTTTTTGTTTGTTTTAGATTTAGAAACGTTATTGAAGTTAGTTTTTGCTCACTTTGAAAGTAGAGTCCCCCCCAATCCTTCCCCTCTCTTCCCTATACGCAGCTGAAAATGCCCCTTGAAGTGGATTTCATGTGTCTATAAAATAGCGTTTAGTTCATTCTTACAAAGAATGACCTGATGCTTGTAAGTATGGGGCAAAATGCAAAGTTTAGGTCATTAAAAAATTATGTCTGAGAAAGCTTTAAGGGGAGGAGCAGAATTACTGAAATTCGCCTCTTATTTATTATGAGCAATATTTTATTATTGAATTTTTATACTAAAGAAAAATTACTATTTTAGGTACTTTTCCAGATCTCTTTATAAAATGTCTGAATGATTTTGTGTAACGTTTATGCCTTGTATATGATTGTTTACCCTTTTTCAGGTCAGTATCTTTTCAGGATACAATTTTTTTTAAAAAAAAGGTCTTGTTTCCCAAAGAGATTTATTTCGCATTTTGAAAAATGTGAGGGTGCGTAACTTTTTTCATTTTTGAGTAAATTTCTAATTGAAAAATTTAACTTCATCAGGCATGGATTGTATCTTGTAGAGTAAACTTAAGCACAGCACCTCCTTTTTCCCCCTGAAGTATTCCATTTCAGTTTTCAATGTGTGGAAAGTGGAGTTGTTTTGTACATGTGAAAATATTTTTCAATGCTTAATAAAAGTATATGGCTTCAGAAAAAAGAAATAAACCCATAATACCTCATTACTCTTTCAGTGGTCTTGATATTACTTTTCTAAACTTAGAACTTGAGGAGACAGTCTAACAAGTTAGGATACAAACTATTGAAAGTGGTTTTTTTGAGCACCAACAATACTTTATATTTCCCTGCCTCTTTAATATTAAATATTGGAAATCTACTACAGTGAGAAATACAAGGGTTCCCTCCTTTGCAGAAACTTAGTGAGCAAAAAAGTTAATAGCAAAGACCTTCTTGGTGTTACCTTGACAAAAATGAACTGCCCACAGCACCACATAAATAAAATGGCACTGTGTTCAAAAAGCAATATGAAGGGAAACACTTCTCAGAAGACGTTCTAAGGGAACAATATTCTATTCTAGCATTAGCATACTGAATACCCGTTTAAATTTTCAAGAAATGTTAGAGCAATTTCCAGAAATTTGGTCAGGTATGTGGGAAATTTATTACCGTAAGCTGTCACTACAGAAAAGCGACACGATTAAAAGAGACTAACAAACTGTACTTAAGTAGTTTTAATTTACAAAAATTTTAATTTTTGTAGTAAAGGTCTCTGACAGAGGCTACATGTAGGCAGATACAAAAAGTAAGACTGAATTAAAATGGACAACTGCAGTGAAACTGGCCTTACATGTTAAAAGTGACAGATGGCATAAAATTCATCATAAAATTCAGTTTGGGTTTTGTCACTGCCATCCTCACTATGGTATCTTGAAGCACCTGCCAATAACACCTTCAGTAACAAATGATTTTACTTTGTGATAAATGTGAAAAGAGCCATAACTTTAAATTGCTTACTTGCAAAATAAAGTCTAAAAATAAATTCTATTCACTAATCCAGACTTAACACCTGTTCCCTGGCAAGTTTCGATAATCTCTGTAAGCAAGGGTAACTTTAATCCCTATCAATATAATATTAAGATAACTACAAATATGCACAGAGATTTGGCAAAAGGCTCTTTCATAGTGTACTGATAGTCTTAACAGCGCTTGCATCTAGAAATGTTGATTCTAGCCTGCCTGTGGGTAAACAGTTCTGAGATGCCTTTGTATAACTTGGAGCAACTACTCGGAAGTTAACTTTGCCTTCACTTTAACTTCCTTCTCCTCTGGCCAGTGGCCAGTCCAGCGCAATCAATAGACTTTTTCTTTCAAGTGGCTCATTGATTTTTCTGAGAACTGCACTGCTTCTGTATTTGATACAGTGCCAAGGGTTGTGCCAAAACCTTGAGAGAAGCAACATTATTTTCATCTGTTTTCTAACATATAGCCCAGTTCATATGATGATGATAAAAGTGTATCATGTCTCAAAGTAACCTTTAACCTTCATTTATGTATTTATTCCCTTGATTCCACTGAATCTTTTTGCAACACTTGAAAGTGAATGTGTGAATCCCAGCTGCAGTAGTTTGGCTTGGCTTTCCTTTCCTTGTGCTTGGTACCTTTATGCACTGCTCACAGCCTTCCTGTCCTACTAAGAGTAGAAGGCACCAGTGAAGAACATGATCCTCTCTCTTCCCTATCTGCACTTGAGATGAAAAAAAATTATTTATGTATGATATTTATATTCTGCTCTATCAAAAAGGCTCCCAGCAAGGATTCCCCTCTGTCCAAACCCTCCTCCAAGTAAACCCACCCACCAATCATGACCACCCCTCCCAAATGCCACTCACATCCAGGTACTCTATTCCATTTTAGCACCACATGCCCCATCTGCATACTCCTACTCCTACTGCCCTGCCACAACCCCAAGCAGAACCACCTGCTGTTGCCTGCCTCCCCTGTAAAACGTATCAAACTATTCCTCCCTCCGTTCCCCAACAAATGATGCTGAATTCCAAAGACCTGTAACAAGAAAACCAAAACGCCTTCAGTCACCATGTAAGGGTACCCTTTGACTGTGCCCTAGGTCTGCACCCATGCAAAAGGCTTCATAAGGCTCATTGGTTGCCAAGGTCCTTCTCCCTCCTTTAAATGGCTGTGATGATACCCAGGCTGGAGGGGACAGGGTTTTGGGGGAACAGGAGTGGATAGCCTGCTGGCTTCTCATCATGTTCCTGTAATACCCACTCTCTGGATTTAAGGAAGGACCTCTGTTTTTACAAGGAGCAGTATGGTAATGAGTGGTCACCTACAAATCATAGTTGTACTTGTACTGTGTGAATTAGATCCACCAGAAGCTTTGTTGGTTTGAACATATATGGGAATGAAATATCCTGAACTTGCAATATCCAGTGGTGACAAGTGAGTAGAGGTCACCTCAATCTTTAAAACACACATCAGACTAAATACAGCAACAGGAGCCCAGTGACTGGCAGGTCCTGGTTTCTTGAAAGATACAGGGGAAGTAGGGATCCCCTATTCTCATTTCTCCTGATCTCCCTATTCCTTTTTCTTCTCCCTTATTCATACTTACTTTCTCATACCTTACATCACACTGAGATTAGAATACAGATCATATACAGCAGTGTAGCCAAGATGCTTACTGTGATTCATTAATGTTTGTGGCACACTCACAGCTTCACTACTTTGTGCCTAGTTTCATAGTTACCAGGTTGGGTAGTGAAGGTAATGCCCAGTACTGAGTCTGGGTCTGTGCAACCACTCAACTTGCTAATTTTTTCGGAAGCTACAGACTGCTAGTTTTCCTCTCCTTCCCATCACATATATAAATATATTTATGTAATGCTAATACCTATTAGTATATCAATTTATTTGTTATCAGAATAGAGCGTTTCATATTTTATATTGTAACAAGGCCTAGCAGTAATGTATCCATCCAAACTTGCCAGAAATCTTGGTCAGCTATAGAACTTATTTTCTATTTATTTAAAATTGTATGTATATTTTCTCCTCTGCCTTTCTCTGTAGCTATTTCCCCCCTTGGTCACTGTTCTGAAGGGAAGTGGCAAGGAGATGTTGGTCCTACACATACCAGGTAGATTCTGTATCAAGAATTCCAACCAGGCACGAACTACCCTTTGAAACAATGTTTAAACAAGTGACAATGGGAGAGGCGTGGCAAAAGAGACCTGACTGTAGATGCATACTGCAGGCCACCTAAGCAAGGGGAAGACCTTGATTTAGATTTCGCCTGTGAACTAACAGAGGCCGCACGTGTATGGCACATGGTTGTCATGAGTGACTTCAACTACCCAGACATCTGGGAGGAGTGCTCAGCTAGCTTGGATCGATCAGAATCCTTCCTGACCAGGACTGAAGAGCTTTTTTTTGACTCAGTAGGTGCACAGGCCAACTAGAGGCAATGCAGTTCTTGACCTGGTCCTAGCCAAAGGATGACCAACTTAAACATAGAGGGCAGCCTAGGTGATAGTGACCATGAAATCATTACGTTCACGGTCTGTCGCAAAGCTGACAAAACAGATACCAAGCTCAAAGTCTTAGACTTCAAAAACGCAAATTTTAATAAGCTCAGGTCACTAGTAGAGAATGCCCTGGTAGACCAAGGACCACAGGTAAAGGGAGCATGAGAAGAATGGTTGTTCCATAATTCTTAAGACTCAGAGAAAATCCATTCCCTTACGGAGAAAAAAGTAGCAAAAGGATCAAAAAAACCCTCTTGGCTATGCAGGGAAGTTGCAACCCTCCTACAGAAAAAGAAAAAGGCATACAAACAATGGAAGCTTGGGACAGCTTGACAATGGCCCGTACTTGTAGGAACCAGATTAGGCAAGCTAAGGGAGAAACCAAACTAAAACTAGCTACAAGAATCAAAGACACCAAGAAGTCCTTTAGCTACATAGGGAGTAAAAGGAAAACTAATGGGAGTGTGGGGCCGCTGCTCAATGCCTCAGGATACCTGGTCACTACCACTCAGGAAAAAATGGAACTCCTAAATGACTACTTTGCCTCGGTCTTTCACAAGACCAAGGGGAACAACACATCAGGTAGGGCACAGAATGAGTAGGGTGGGATTGATACTGTTCCCACCATTTCCATAGAACTGGTGTAGGATGAATTAAAGAAATTAGATGTATATAAATCAGCAGGACTGGATGAACTCCACCCAAAAGTGCTGCAAGAGTTGACTGAAGTAATCACAGAGCCCCTGGCAAAGGTCCTTCAAAAATCATGGGCCTCTGGAGAAATCCCAGAGGACTGGAAGAGGGCCAGTGTTGTGCCCATCTTCAAGAAAGGGAATCATGAGGACCCGGGAAACTACAGGCTGATTAGTTTAACAGCTATTCCAGGGGAAATCCTAGAAACATTCATCAAAGAAGCTATTTGTGACCAACTTGTAGAAGGCATGATAATGACAGACAGCATGGCTTCCTCACAGGCAGGTCTTGTCTGACCAACTTCATTTCGTTCTATGATCAGGTGACTTGTCACCTGGACAAGAGAAAAGCACTTGACATCATATACCTTGACTTTCAGAAAGCCTTTGACCTGGTATCCCATGAGATACTGAGCAGAAAACTGGAAGATATTGGGCTCAACTGTGGGACCATCAAGTGGGTGTGAAACTGGTTGCAGAGTAGGCCACACAGGGCACATCCACACATGTAAACACATGCGCTTGCAGTAGCTCAAATAGAAGCAGTGCACATTTGAGCCGAGCCTTTTTGCTTTGGTGTGGGGCAAATTGTGCCACTTGGGGCACAATAACCCTGCTCCGCTCCTCTCAGATCTGCAGCCAGGGGGAGCTAGAGCCTGGGGCCATCACCTGTGCTGTTCCCCGCAGTATAAAAAGCTGCCTTGTCCTGGCCTCAGCCGTATAAAAAAACCGCCCTAGCAAGTAGCTCAGGGCTACTACCTCTCAGGAGCTTCTGGGGCCCAGTCATATGGTACCTAGGGACACTACCCCTTGTGCCAGCTAGACTGCTGAAGCAGCCCTGAGAGTTCCTTGCACCCTTCACCCACTGCAGCAGTCTGGTAGTGGGGGCTGCTGCCTGGCTGTGACCTGCTGCGCACCTGCCAGACCTGGATGGGGACTGCACAGACAGTAGAGGTATCTGCCCCTCTGGGCCAACTGCCAATGGACTGT